GCCTGGACTATTGCATAAACTGGACACAGAGAACCCGCAGAGAGAGGACTACTGAACTTGCCTAAAGGTGAGATGATCTTTCGGGGTTCCTGATTCATGAAAGAGTCTGCGAGACATTCTGCCGGACACAGCAGATAGTGACTGAACTGCCTTTGAATTTTCCTGCTTCATGGAAATGTCTGCTGGATACCATGGGCCTGTAGGCCAAAGATGGATGCCCCAACGGTACAGAGAAACTTTGGGTGACTGTCCAGGCAGCAAGATGTCTCTGTCATTTCTAGAGTTTGAGAGTTGCTTATTTCTTGTTTGCTTAGGTAATATTGTATCTTTCTGGAGTCTTTGATGGAGTTGAAGAATAGTTAGTTATAGTTATAGTTTTCCTTAGTTATGATAAAGATAAAATAGATGTAAATACTATAATTTTTACTTAATAACCGTTTTGTTATATGTAATTTTGCTATGTTAAAGTTAAAGCCTTCCCTTTTTTTTGTTTAAACAGAAAAAGGGGAAATGATGGAGGAAGGTCATTGGTTAAAAAATAAAGAAACTGCCTTGGTTTCTTGTATTTTATTGGTTAGAACATAGATGGGTAGAGTAAACAGTAAACAGAACAGAATGCTGGGAGGAAGAGGAAGTGAGCTCAGAGACGCCATGCTCCCCTCTCCTGGGCAGACACGATAGCTCTGCTCTCTGAGGCAGACACGATCAAGCTCCGGCCCTGGATGGATGTAGGCTAGAATCTTCCCAGTGCTACACACTTTATTAGAAATGGGCTAGTCTAGGTACGAGAGTTAGCCGAGAAGAGGCTAGATATTATGGGCCAAGCAGTGTTTAAAAGAATACAGTTTGTGTGTTGTTATTTCGGGGCATAAGCTAGCAGGTGGCCGGGGTGATGGGGACGCAGCCCCGCCGCTCCCACCACTACACATTTTTCGATTTTCTCTGCAGTGCCTCCTCCTCTGCCCTTACTTGATGGCTGTCGCCTTTCGGCCAGGAAGCATCCTGTGCTGCTTTATACTATAAACTCTTACTTTAGGATTTTTAGGTTGGTTCCCAAGGAAAAGTCTTGTCTTTCTGTTCAAGAGTACCGTTTATTTTGTATGTACGGGTGGAAATGTGTGAATGGTGTGGCCACACGCTTGTTTTTAACTGGTCCTGGATGTCAGGGTTTGTGTTTTCTGTGTGTCTTAGTTATATAGCTCAGCTTTATTACAACTAGCTGCCCGAGCTTAAAATTTGCCTCTGGGCTTTGCTGAATCTGATATGATGACAGAGAAAGTTATTTTATGCTGTTCTACCTTATTATATATAAAAAAAACAACTTAGAAAAATATGTATGGTTAAAAAAAAATCTGTAACAAAAGTTAACTTAAAATTTGTAACTCCAGCCGGGCGGTGGTGGCGCACGCCTTTAATCCCAGCACTCAGGAGGCAGCAGGCGGATCTCTGGGAGTTCGAGGCCAGCCTGGTCTACAAGAGCTAGTTCTAGGACAGGCACCAAAGCTACAGAGAAACCCTGTCTCGAAAAACCAAAAAAAAAAAAAAAAAAAAAAAAAAAATTGTAACTCCAGCCGGGTGGTGGTGTGGTGGTGGTGAACACCTTTAATCCCAGCACTCGGGAGACAGAGGCCAGTCTGGTCTACAAGAGCTAGTCCCAGGACAAGCTCCAAAAACTATAGAGAAACCTTTCTCAAAACGACAAAAACCAAAAAAAAAAAAAAAAAAAAAAAAAAACCCACAATGCTGGAAGCAAAGACCTGTATTTTGAGACCTGTATTTTGTTTATAGCCATCTTAAGTTCACAAGTTAAGAGCAATTAGCATTTCCTTTGTAAGTTATTATCTCTTTCTCTCAGCCAGAGAAGTCTTCAGACCTGACACCCTCCCCTCCCCTTACCTGTTTGCTATATATAACAGCTCCTGAGGAGTAATAAAGTTGGTAGCTTGATCAGAAAGCCAGATTTTGCCGTTATCTCATGTCTCTTGTCCCTTCCATTCCTCTTCCTCCTCCAGGTTTATCAGGGATGCCCCATTTGTGTCCCATTGGTTGGGACATCACAGCCCTCCCCCAAACAAAATGAAACAAAAATGGTCACTCCAGTTTGGAACTGCCCTGGAAAATAACATGTGGGCAGTCACCATTTGACTAAGGACAGAGATTAGGGAGGTCATATGACTTCTCTGCCATCTTACTGCATGGAATGGGTTCACCAGGAGACATTAGGTCTTCAAGTTATTTTAGGTTAAGATACATTTCCGTATGATAATTCCTGTCCTGTCCTAAAAACATGGTTTATGAGAAGATAGGATTTAAAATAATGCTAGTTTACCTTTCTGGCAGCCAGATTTTGTTTCTGATTCTCCAATGCTTCAGAGATCTGAGAATACGGCATTTTAATAAAAACAAAAACAAAAACAAAAAAACCCCAAAAACCTTCTCATGATAGAGACACCAGTTCCTAGCAGCATCCTTTATCTCCTCCAAGGAAGCTGGATGGCCACAGAAAAACCTCCATCTGCACCTTGCTTTAAACATGGCAATGCCAGTCATTGAGCAACAAACTGCCTTGCACCTTAATTGCTGCTAAGACCCTGTCCAGACTGTGGATGGGCAGAACAGTGGGGAATTGATTGTCCTGCTTTGCCAAGACAAGGTAGGCCAGTCTCCTCAAATTCCTACTTCATAGAAAAGTCTGTCAGACCTTGATAGCCATGGAGGGACTTGAGGTAGCTGGAAAGCTGTCTCCCTTCTGCTTAAATTTATCCTTTTTAGATCCAGTGATGTTTGATGACTAGGGTACCAACAGATTTACCAGTTTAACAGCTTTCCCCTGACCCCCAAGGCTACAACCACTTTGGTAGCTCATTAGTTCAGTCTCCTGTTAAAGGTACTGATAGGTGGACCTTGTTCACAGGCTTCACGGTGGAGGACAAACAGGTTTCAGATGTAACTTCGGAGGCTCAGAATCTTGGCATGGATAAAGGCAGTTCTGACGAGCTAAAAGAGCACTGACTACAAACAGTTTTCAGGAGCCATTAAATTTCTGTGGATTTTACTGGTCACAGGTTTTAGAGACCAGTTAGCATTAAAGAGGGTATGGAAGCCTGCAGGCATGTTCACCTCTATCTTCCCTTGCTCCTCAGCTGCCCCTCCTCCTCCTTCACTCACTCAACCTCTTCTGTTTCCTCTTGTTGTCTTCTAAAGGGATAGACTTAAAGGTGTGTTTTACGGGGCTAAAACCAGACCCTAGGAAAAATGTTCATATTTTTTAATCCACAGCCATAGCCTTTTGCTATGACACTAAGATGTAACTCTGTTCCAGATGTTTTACAGATGCCTGCAGGTTCCTGGGGAATTGATTTCCCTGCTTTGTCAAGACAAGTTTCACTCCTGCCTGACTCATGCCAACTCCAACCCACAGGGGGCCCTCCAGATAGGACAGTCCCTGCACCAGTTCTGAGGACGCCAGCCGGGTGTGGACTGGCAGTTTGACCTCACCCACATGCCCACTCATAAAAAGTTTCGTTATCTCCTAATTCTTGCTTGTTGACCTTTACAGGATGGATAGAGAGAGGTATCCCCAGCTCCAGGGAAACAGCAGAACTGATGGCTCAGGTATTCCCAGAACATACCATCCCTTGATTTGGCAAGCCATGCCTTCCCCAGCTCCTGAGACACAGTGCTGGTACCACCTCTCCCGGCTCAAGTGGGCACCTATCCAGCAACTGGGACCTGGTTCTCCGAGATGTCCAGTGCAGGGCTCCCCTGCTCCCATGTCTGCTCTCTCACCCTGGTCTCTTTTGTGCTATCAGGGCACATGTCCACTGCAACCCTTCTGGCAGCTCTCCCATGGCCCCGTTCATGAAGCCAGTGATAATTTGGTTTTTCTTCTAGCAACCTGCCTTTTCTGCCTCCCCAAGGAACAGATGCCTGAGGTCTCCAGGATGGCAGCAAACCAAATGCTTCTTTACCCACATCCCCACTGAGCATGAACCCATCAACTCCACCCTCCCCACTTGTCCCTTGTCAACATCAACAGAAGTAGCCAGACTTGAACTGGCATCCATATATATCCAAAAGGGTTAGGATGTTGGTAGTATCTACTTCAGTCTCACTCCCCCATTCCAAACCCTGCCCAGATGTTTGACTGGGAACCTGGCCCCACTCTTCCCACCCCAGACCCCACCCCTCAGAAAGCCCACGAAGGGTCAGTTCCTTCCCTGGAGCTGCTCAAGACCATGCCTACAGGGTGTTTAAGACCTGGTCCTAGACCTGCCATGGGATTTCTCTCCTGCCTTTTTGAAAGTTACCCGGAGAGTTGCTTTTCTCTGTTTATTAAATCTGTCTTATTAATTTGGCTTGATTTGGCTTATTGCATCAGCAAAGGAATCCCCAAACTGGGGATTTTAAAAGTATTTGTAAGTAACCACGCCACTTCTTAACTTATTTGAGGGTCAGTCTCCTCTGCAAGGTGATAAGAGGTTAGTTAACATAAATGCCCTATTTAGTTCAGTTTAGTTTCCAGTTTTAGGAAAAGTCACAAATGAGATGGTTAGACTATTCCTTATTGCTTTTTCCCATCATTTTATTTAGAATTTATAAATAGGATTTTAAGAACTTTAAAAATATACTGCATATTTAAGTTTTTTCTTCTTCTTTGGGATTTATTCTAACTGAATAATTTCAACCAAGCACACTTTGGGGAACAGTGCCAGGAGCCAGAGACATAGCTGAGATCATGCCGAGCTGCTTGGCTGAAAGGACTCAAACACAAGGCCTCTCTGGAGTCTCTGACCTGCACACACTCTCCTCCGCATGCCACAGCTTCCCTTGTGCATCCAGTCCAGAGCTGGCTGCCATGACGATGCTCTTGTGATGCTGCAGAGCCAGCGCTTACTTCAGACAGGTCACGTGCTGACCCTGGGAGCTCAAGACATGCCTGTCTGTGAGCACAGTCCCTGTGGAGTGGAGCCCTGCAGTGCTGTGCTCTGAGCACCTACCTTTACCAGTGCCGGGCCAGGCTTCGCTGAGGACACAGTGTTCGTGGGGAGGATGGGAGCTGTAGACCTCGTGGGAGGCTGGTCCGCAGTTAGAGGGGTTTTCAAGAATTCAGGAACTGCTGGGGACACGGAGGTAAACTGGTGGGAAAGGCAGAGAGAGATATGGCCATGAGATCAGTAACTGGAGGACTGGAACTGCAAGGGAATGACCTCATTGTACAAACAGCATCCTTACTGGTCAGCCCCAACCACATTCATGCAAAAGACTCAGAGGCTGTATTTCTATATTTGCACACACATACATATGCATATACATATATGCAGTAAGGATAAAGAAAAAGAGTCTATCAACCTGAGAGTGGGGGAGAGTCATGGGAGGGGCTGGAGAGAGCAAAGGGAGGGGCTAGTGATGCAATTCTATTTTCATTAAAAATGTATAAAAACTTATAAATATAAAAAATAAGTCTAAAATCAAAACAAAGAAAAACACAGTATTGTGCCTGAGGTCCAGAAGGAATTACAGGCTTATTCTCCATGCAGTAGGTTATCAGCTTCGTCTCTACAGCAGGGCAGCTGGGACTACGCAAGCGTGGACTGATGTGGCTGCATGTGTTGTCCCCCACTCCTCTAACAAGTGAACTCAGAACTATCCTTATTCTTGGCAAAAATAAAGTAAAACAACAATAATAACAACAAAAAAAACCCAACTTACAAAAGCAATCAAAACAATACATAGCATTTCTAAACATTTCTTGGTAGGTTGTGCTAATCCTGGCTCATCCACATGTAGGGTTTGGACTTTCAGAGCATGGGCCTGTACCATACCCACCCCCTTCTGCTGTTGGCAGCTTCTTAGAGGAAGACCATGTCATCCCCAAGGGCCTTCAATGTACTGCACACCTCACACTTCTGTCTCCAAACCAATGCTAATTGACCACAGCCCCGTGTCTTTTAAAAGAGAAGCTGAAGAATGTGTTGGCAGAAACTATCCCTGTGCATAAGGAGCTTCTCTTCGAGGGCCTTTGCCCTTTCCAGAGCCAGTGAGCACCAGCATGGAGCTGGGGTGGGGGTAGAAGCAGCTACGAGATCTTATTGCTTCTCGCCAGTACCCCATTCTAAGTATGTGGCATGTCCGTCACCTAAGGCAATGCTATGTTCTCACTTCTGCTTCCTTATTATCAGCTTTTTGGTTTTCTTTTCTTCAGGGAAAATGGTTTTTCTTCAGAAAAGACACCCCACCCCCTCAGTCCTCCTGTGGAAGTTTTTAAAGTAACAAACTGCATTTCTCTTCCTAAGATAAAAACCTAAAAACCTGGAGTGTTATTAGTAAAAAGAAATATGAAGCCTGGTGTATAAACTCAATAAATGTCTGTTTAATTGATGGTGTTCTTGCGGCTTCCCCCAGCAAAGTCACATTCTCAAACTCAGCTGTGGCTGTGTGAGTGTGTGTGCAATCGTACAAGTCCAGTCCCTGTCTTTGAGACAGGCGCCTGCTACTCATTTCACCATCAGAGTATTACACGAAGACAATGTAAGACTGTGAAGACGGCTGGGAGCTTCATTTCATCCAGCCTGTTTCAGACTCTGGAGATGTCTGGCTCTCTGAGAAACTTGTGGCCAGCCAACGTTCATGCTTCAAGTGAAAAGTGGCTCTTCCTTATGGGACATGGCCTTCTGCGATCAGTGGTCCTCTACCTGACATACTGCAGGGATGGAGATACCTCTGGGTGGTCTCACAGGGAGTATAATCTTTGACGTTTGTATAACTGGTATATGAAGTAGAATGTAGTGCTTGAATTTTGAATTGTACATTATCTCCTCACAAAAGCATTCCATCTGGTGAGCTGTCTGACCAGCACAGGCAGTCATGATAGCCCCGAGCATGCTGTTATCCAGAAGTACAGATGTAGCAGCTGGGGGCCGCTTGTGAGGACATCTCTTTGCCTGCACTCCTAGGCTGTGCCTCCTCCAGCCTCTAATACAGATGCTGTCTTCTTATTATCCCTACTTCAACGTGACTGCTATCCAGAAGAACCATAAGACCATTGAAATACAGCAACTCTTCCCTGTACCTGAGGGGCAGATAAACAAGCTGAAAGAAGAGATCTGGAGTCCTCTAGGAGCTGACAGGTTTCTTACGTGTCTTGAGGGGCCCAAACCAAAATATCCTCAACAAATGGCTCCAACTGGGCAAACTCTCCAAAAGAGGCCAGGTGCCAGGGTTCTTCTAAAAGGGTTTAAAATATCCAAGTCACAAAGGGCACTTCCTCTGCTCCACAGTTAATATGGCATCACCTTAGAAAGAATACGAGGGAAGCATCATGACACCAAGACCTGCATTCCCTCTGTGAATCCAACGATGCAGAATTATTTCTCTAAAGAAGAAGAAACAGAAGCTGCAGACTTGACTTCCCATCCAACTGTCCTCAGCACAGGCCGCAGGCTCATAACTGCTAGTGCCTTCACTTTCAGCCTAACACTATCAAAGAAAACATGAGGACCTAAGCTTGGAACCCTAGCACCCGTGCACGAGATGCAAAGTGTGACAGAAGGCACCTGTAATCCCAGCACTGGGGAGACAGAGACAGGAGGACCCCTGGAGCTCCTTGGCTAACCACCTTGCCAAATGGTGAGCTGCAGCTCAGTAAGAGATCCTGTCTTAAAATAAGGACAGTGACTAAGGAAGAATCCTAAAGTTAGTCCCTAGACACATACACTCAGGCACATGCATACATACGAGTGCACACACTCACATGAACATACACAACACTTGGCATCAAGTTCTGGCTTTCACATACATTCAAAGGAAAATGTAAATACTGGGTATTTTGAAAATAAGTTAGAAAAAGAGGCTTTTAACCTTAAAACTAACATTTCTTTTACAACAAGTTGCTATAGGAAAAGTTCATGATGCAGAATCTGGCTGCCTCCCTTGCAGACTACTGTCTGCACACAAAGGCTCAAGAGCGGCCTTCTGGAAAGGTCGTACTTTCTTATGCTGTAGTTTTTCAATCTCTAATAAGCATGCTTTTAATTCAGGATGCAGAAGAGTTCTTGCTGAAGATGGCAACATGCAAGTAAGTTCAAACTGTGACTGTTCTTTGAATACTGTTTAATTATCGCAGTTTCCACACAGATAAAATAACAGTGAATGTGCTGAATACAAACCCAAACATATTCTGGATGTTGAGTACAGGCATGTAAAATTCTCATGTGCCGGTGTGTGTCCCTCTGTGATTGGTTCTTTCATTTAACATAATACTTAGATCCATCCATATCTAGCTGGTGCAGAACCCCTTCCTTTCCAAGGGCAGCTTTTTGTTTCTGCATTCAGATGCTGTGCACACAAGGGCTGCTTTTCTGTTAGCCACGAGATGCTGTTTGCATGAACAGGGTAAATGATGGTATGTGTGTTATAGAAAATATATGCGTTCTAATTCTTTGTTTCAACCTTTTGTTTGTTTGTTTGACCGATTTAAAGATAGGGACTTACTACAGAGCCTAGGCTCCAGAACAACCCTGCTGTGTCAGCTTGTGAAGTACTGGATACTGGGTGTGTACCACGACAGCCCACTTCCTGCTTTCAACTCATTCATCCAGAAAAAGAACTGCTGGGTCACTGGTTAAGCTCTGTTTTAAACATTATTTACTTAGTTTCTGCGTGTGCATGCTGGTGAAGGACGGAGGAACATTGGGAGATATCTCCCAATAGCTAGCAAATTACAGGGACTCAATGGCAAACGCCTTTTCTCACTTCAGCCATGGCACCGGCCTAGTAAAACTGTATTTGCACGACACCATTTTCTACAGTGACTATGTAACTACATTATGTCACTATAGTAACAATGGACAAGAATTGCAGCTTCTCCACATACTTGCCAGAATCTGGTGCTTTCTGAGTATGTAAGAGCAGCTTCTGGTTTTGATTTATGTTTATTGATTTCTTATGCTAGGTACGTTGTGATGCATTTATTTCCATTGTCTATAAACACGGTTTTGAAATACCAGAGATCATCATATCTTATTGGCCACTTGTGTATTGTATTAGGGTTACTACTGCTGGGATGAAACATTATGATCAAAGCAAGTTGGGGAGGAAAGGGTTTAATTAGCTTACACTTCTATAATGCTATTTACCACTGAAGAAAGTCAGGACAGAACCTCAAACAGGGAGCTGATGCAGAGGCCTTGGAGGACATGTTTACTGGCTGCTCATCACGGCTCGCTCAGCCTGCTTTCTTATAGAACCCAGGACCACCAGCCCAGGGATGGCACCACCCACAATGGCTGGGCCCTCCCTGGTAAGTCACTAATTAAGAAAATGCCCTACAGGTTTGACTACAGCCCAATCTTACGGAGACATTTCTCAACTGAGGCTCCTCCTCTCGGATGACTGTAGTTTCTGTCAGGCTGACACGAAACTAGCCAGCACATATGTATTCTTTGGAGAAATAATCAAGTTTTGTACCTATTTTCAAAAAGTGTTGTTTATTTATGAATGTCCAGAGACAATCCTTCAAAGACTTTCATCCTTTGGGTTGGTTTTTTATTCTGCTGATAAGATTCATTGTACAAAACTTTTGGGATAAAGGAAGGTTGGATAGGGGAGCACGGAAGCACAATTCTTAGTTAAGGGAGCCACCTTAGGGTTGGCAAGAGACTTGAACCTAGAGTGGCTCCCAGATGCCCAAGCTGAGGTCCCCAGTTAGTTCCTTGGGCAGCTGAGGATAGGGAACCTGAAATGACCCTATCCTAGAGCAATACTGACGAATATCTTGCATATCATCATAGAACCTTCATCTGGTGATGGATGGAGACAGAGACAGAGACCCACACCGGAGCACTGGACTGAGCTCCCAAGGTCCCAATGAGGAGCAGAAGGAGGGAGAACATGAGCAAAGAAGTCGGGACCACGAGGGGAGCACCCACCCACTGAAACAGTGGAGCTGATCTATTGGGAGCTCACCAAGGCCAGCTGAACTGTGACTGAAAAAGCATGGGATAAAACTGGACTCTCTGAGCATGGTGAACAATGAGGGCTGATGGCCCAAGGACAATGGCACGGGGTTTTGATCCTACGTAATGTGCTGGCTTTGTGGGAGCCTAGCCAGTTTGGATGTTCACCTTCCTAGAAATGG